ACAACAACAGAATAATTTTAAATAATCACAAATAAATATCTATTCTATTTTACCTGACTCTGTTAGTGTCACCATATCCTCTGTGTCCATATATCTAGCTAGACTCTTTATTTTATTAAAAATAAAGGAAATATCAGCTACAGTTCCTTCCCTAAAGATGATCTTTGGGGGCATTATGGCTGCAAAAACAGAAAAACAAAAGCTAGAAAGATGTTTAATACTGTGAAATATTGTCAGTGGCATATACAGATGGAAGCATGGTGTCTGACCTCATATCCCAAATCTTAAACCTACATCCCCTTTTCAAACAAAGGCAACACAAGTTTGCAAATTTCTATCAGGGGCTTAGTGGGGAAGAAATTAGGAGGTATTAGTTACCGGGGCCGGAGGGGGTGGGGTTGTGAGGTGTTACACCTCCAGTAAGATCATTTGTATCTAGTAGTTGCGTCTCCTACCACTACTGAACAGGGACAGATGCATGTGTCTCCAGGCTAACGTGAATATACCTCCAACTCCTAGCTAAATGATTCATGGCACACTCGTTATTTGACTGCTGCATAGTCTTTCCACACCCCACACTCTCTCTCCAGCAAACAGGATCCGCCACTGGAGCTTATTATCTAATAAAAGCCGAAAAAACAATAGATATTATGTTTTTGTCCAACTGCGCCAAATCTTCAAATCCCTGGCTTACCTAACCTAGTATCCTTGTTGTGTACCTGCCTCTTATAGGCCTGGCCCCTGGCCTAACTACTGTAATGAGATTCCCCAGATCCTACTTATTTGTAACGTTATGATAATTTGTAGGATTGCATAAATTGATTTGTGATTGTGAGTGCAGGGAAAGGTATATTTCGATCCTTATTAAAACAAACAATAGGCCTAGACACATTTTAGATTTAAGTGAACTTGGTATGGCTTTGTGGGCGTGGTCGGACGTCGCTCAAAATGTCTTGGATAGTAGTCCAGGAGAAGAATTCCCCCGGAAAACTATGAAAATATAAGGGTTTCTTAGGGCTTAGGCTTTCGTTTTTAGAGTATAATATGTAAACAAATTATTATTGTATAGGCCCTCATTTTGTTTTTGGTGGGGGACGGCACGGGCAGCCTCTACATGGGCCCTTCCCCTGCCACTCCCCTGCTACAATCGAATAGCTATGGACTTTATACTTGGAATTAAAGTACTATTTACAGTACAAGCCTACGACAAAAATACTCAACAAACATAGCATTCTTGATTATTCACTTCTGTAACTTTAAAAGTCACAGTTTGATAAATTCATATCCATAACGCCAGCGTAACCCGCAGTGTAAGCCCAGCTATCCAAAAATAGCGGCTAGAACGTATCGATGTGCTTAGGCCTATGTTGTTTTTGACATCTATTATCCCAAGGCAACTTGCATTACGGGACATTTGCTCCATTTTTTTTTTATTTTATTTTTTTTTTGGGTTAGCAGCAACGTAACGTTACTTAACAATAGCTAGTCTTCACATCCTTGTGGTGAGATTCTGGGCATACGGGTCTACAGTAATTTGGCTGTTGCGGGACCGTAAAATTTCCCCGAAGGCAGGGCAAGACTGAAGTTAAGTCTGTGTGGTTCTGGGGCAGACCCTAAGACGGTGTCACGGGAATCGTTTCCCCTCTCGCCATAGATAGGTCACCATCTCCTACAAGTTACTTTAATAACGAACGTGGCCCTCTGTGTAGATGACTATGAGGCTGCTTATTAATCAAAACAGCAGCTTTATGTTAGTACTTAGTTGATCATGCAAGAAGATTTAAACAGAGAAAATCACACTTTTACCTTGAATACAGAGGTTCAGTGGTCTCCTACAGACAACTAACTGTTAGGGCCTATATCCTATAGGCCTACTAATTCAACTTGTTATTACAGCGGCCTAACTACTGCAATCATCCATGTTATATTATAGGCCTAGCTTTATTCTGGAATTTCCTACTCGACGGAAATAGCATGAATTTGAGTTGAAAGGTTGAATCAATCTATAAATTTATTTGTATACCCATGCGTTGTTTGCGTACCTGGCCGGTATTACAATGAAACCAATCAACCATATGCGAGTTTACTAATCATGATAGTAGGCCTACGACGCATCATGAAACCGTGTGCTGTTTTTTTTTTTTTACATACAGTATTGCATTAAAGCGACTGTCACGCACAACGTCGTCAGTTTTTTTTTTATACTGTATTTAAATACTGTACTGGCTGTGTACTAATCATGATAGTAGGCCTACGACGCATCATGAAACCGTGTGCTGTTTTTTTTTTACATACAGTATTGCATTAAAGCGACTGTCACGCACAACGTCGTCAGTTTTTGTTATACTGTATTTAAATACTGTACTGGCTGTGTTGATCCTGGAATTTTAAACAACATTGAATTTCTCATATAGAAGGATCCAGTAGCGTAAGGATGAGTCGTGGGGCTCCGATGACGAAAACGTGTTGGGGGACATGAATTTCAGTAAAGTATTCGTTAAGAATATTAAAACTGGAAAGGCTACTTTAAAGGCAATGTCAGTATCATCTTACATTGTTATAGGCCTATTGTGTGAATATAAACCATAGAATCAAGTTTTAATTGCACACGTCACCCCGAGGCTTCTTTGGACTTGTGGCCCTGGGGCTTCTTCCCCTTTTGTAAAAGCCCATAGGCGTTACGCCACCGAAAGGATAATTTAATTTACTACATGTAAATGAAACACAGACCAAAACAATTCAGTTTCCGATTACTTTTTTTTAAATAGGCCTACGGAAGTCATTTTGACTGCCAGCCAATGGATCGTTCTGTCCACAAGACTGATGCGTAAACGCAGAGCAACCGAATTGCCTTAAACAGTTTGTGAGACTTTAGGCGTGTTTCTGGTTCTGTTATGATTGGTAAGTTAATTGCAAAAATGTCTGATCTTCCCGGGCACACACTGCGCAATTCAATGAACGACGGTAGGCCTACGACTCGCAGCGGTGGCACCAGAAATTTCCAACAAGATGTCCGACAGAGGGGTCCAAGCCCAGGGGCCGGCGAAGTCTCCGTCGACGGGCCGGAATAAAAACTACCTTGTAGGGTTTGGTTCACGAGGAGAGTTTTTATGGCAAAGTGTGGTTCAAAATATGATTTTCAGACCACAATATTAGGGATTGGCAGTCAAAATAAGATTAATTGGATAGGCAAATTATTATTCTTTTAATTTTTGATCCGACGACCTATATACGTGTGCGTCGGACGACAGGGAGTCCAGGCCTGTGCGACTGGGGATTCCACCCCCCCCCCCCGCTGTGAGCCAACACTGGGTGCGAGGCAGGCGCAACGATCGTTTTCAGTGATGATCCGCCACCGATAATCAGCAGACGGCGTCGCATCTCAATCACGCAGAAAACGGAGAAAGATTCGTCGGCCGACCAACAGTGTGAGCCCCTCCAATTTTAGAACAAATTTTCTCGTTTTTATTTCTGATCTAGAGTACCACAGTCGTGCCGTCACGACGCCAGGTGGCGCCCTCTTTTGTCAACAGGCGTTAGTAACCGTTCATTACGCCTGCATAACTTCAAAGGCTTTCTGGAATGGCATTTTAAAATCTAATATTTTACCATCAAAATGTACTAAAAACACAAAAGCTCTCATTATATTAGTTATCAAACACACATTTAATCATCAACTAAAATTTACAATTTTACAAAGTAAAAGTAAGATACAACATCTTAATAATTACGGTACGTTAGAAATTGGGATCAATGGTTTGTCGGTGGAGAAAAAGGCGTCCGCTTGAACTCATTTTGCAAGGATAGCAACGGAGTAGTATCACGTGGTATACTGTAGTACTCTCTAAAACTATGCTAAAATATATACAAAGAAAATTAATTTAATTTTGATATTAAAAAAAAGCATTAGGCCTACATTATAAAACTAGAAATGTATATTGTAAGTCGCGATTATACTGTAGTATAATTATAAGACGAAGTACATAATATACAGTACACACTGTGCAGTATACTAAATCAAAGAGTATAAATAGAACAAGAGAGCAAAGTCCCGTTCGTAAAAACGTCATGCCTGTGTAGGACGCCAACTAACGGTTGTATATTCTTTTTATTACCCAGTGCAGCGCTGCGCAGCGCGGT